AGCGCGGGCCGGGGGCGCCGCGACGTCCCTGGGGCCGGGCCCCGCCGCAGCCCCGCGCACCGGAGGGGTTTGTGGAGCCCTGCCGAGAACGAGCCTTGTTTTCAAGGCAGCTGCATCTCGTTTTCTTCTCTTCCGTAGTTCCGCTCTTGTAACCTCCCGTTATCCCCCTTCCCCCCTTTCTAAAGACTTGCCTGTGTTTTTTGCTGTCTCAGGCGTTTGCGACTTTATTATTTTTATTATTTATGCGGCTTTATTATTTTTATTATTTATGCGGCTTTATTATTTTTGTTATTTACTCCTTGCGCTGGTTCTTTGCGCAAGCCGAGATGAATTAAACGTTGCCTCCAGCGTAGGTAACCCTTGGACAGTGAGAGGATGTGACATCGACGGGGGAGCTTAAACCCCCCAAACATGCCTTTTTTTTTTTTTTCTTTTTTTTTCTTTTTCCTGGTCAGTTGAAATGCATTTTGGGTTTGCTTTCATCATCAGTATTTCAGCTTTGCTTCATTGCATTTGCTGGCCTTGGCCACTTCCTCGCTGGAGTTTGCGCGGTGAGAAACGCTCTCGGGGCAACCTTGCGAGCGCGACCACCTTTCATTTATATGGTCGTGACATAGCGTTGCAAGATACTTCTCTTGGGGAAAAATCTGCTTGATTTTTCACATAGATGAAGGGAGTCCTAACTGAATCCCCTTCTAGGAAAAAAAAAAAAAAAACCCTTACAAAAAGCACCAAACAAAGGCTTCCTTCACCCCAGCCCTGCAGCAGGTGCCGGGGTGGTCGGCGCTGCTTGGTGTGAGCCCGCTGCACTGAGCGCGTCGGCGCGGGCCGCGTTCCGAACACGCTTTGCTCCGCGTCTCAACCCGTTTCCGTTCTGCACGCGCTTTGCTCCGCGTCCTGGCCCGTTTCGTACCCTCCGGCGCGAGGCCGCGCTCCGAACGCGGTGCCCGCTTGGCCTGGTCGCGTTTCCTGTTTTGAATTACCCCGCCGTGTTTCTGAGGACACGTTCACCCCCGGCTCTTCTCCTCTCGTATCTTGACGCCGGCTTAAGCTTATTTTGGTCATACCTATAACTGGATTTCCTCAAAGGTGATTCCAATAAACTGGTGGAGGCTGCAGCACAGATGCTTTAAATTTAAACTGAACTATTGGTTTTGCTATAGTCTGACAGCTCTTTGTCTTGGGACTAACACCATGTTCCTTTCCCCTCCCAGCCCGTTACTTGAATACAGATAAGTTGTACTAGGTAAGCTAGATATGGGTTGAATTGAGAGCCCCCAAATCTTTTACAATTTAATTAAAAAAAAAAAAACAGAAAATAGGTTGTATTCTAAGTTTCCTACTCCTCTTTCGATCAGTCTGTTCTCTAGTGCATGCACATGGTCAAATCTGCTATCATTTTCATCTTCCAGGCCTTCTAACTGGGATCTGGGATTTTAATACAACCTCTTTCTGGTCTCCCTAGTACTTGGTAACAGCTAAGAGCTGTTTATACTGTTTTTCTTTTTTTTCTTTTATTTTCATACAATCCAGTCTTTCAGTACTGCCAGTTTTTGACAGATTCAGCACAAACATCTGGACTTGTTTATCTATATGCTTTAAGTAGAAAGTGCACCCCAAAATTCCAAGCAAGAACTCTGCTCTTCAGAGGAGATTTGAAGCCCTGTTTCTGCTGTGAAAGGGCCTTGACTTTATTGAGGCCAAGTGGCAATTGCTGGGAGCCAGTTTGGTTAAGTTTTGAGGCAGATGTAAAGAAAAAAAAATAGTAATGACTGTTAGTTGAAACGGGAGTAGGATTCAACAACAGCCTGATACTGCAGAGATTGAAATAAGGAACTGTGTGGCTTTCTGAAAACTCCTGCAGCCCACGGAGGGGCGCGTGGTAAGCAGGGGCTCCACGCGCTCATCGGGAACGTTGCCCGCAGCCTTTGGTTCTTAGGCTGCAGTTAATACATCTCATTTCACTGTTATTTTTTTCTTTCCAAGAAGTGAAAGCTGTGATAATAATGGAATGATTTAATAAGGAGGTTTTGTGCTTGTTATTACTTTGTTTTTTAACGTGATGAGATATTTTCCCAAAATGTACGCTTTAATCTGGCTCCAGGCTGTGTGATAGTTATCAGCTGTGAACAGAGACTCCCTCCCCTTCTGGGCCATGGTTTGAAGACGTTTGCCTGTGTTGCCTTCAGCACACACAGAGCACGAGCTCTGCTGGAAAACCACAACGACGAGCAGATGCTGTGTTTTGGGGATTCAGTCGATTTATTGCCGAATATATTGCAGCTTTTTTTATGGTGTGCAATTGCTCAGGTGTATTCTGAGATGATGTAGAAGATCTCTCGTTAGATACTCTGCTTGTGTTGTACTCATTTATTACTTATTTTTACTCTTGCACCCATTATTTTTTAGCATCAGCCATACCCCTGGATTTGGTGTTAGGGAGAATTTTCCAAAGTGGGAGAGATCTTGAATCCTTTTTCTTTCCCCCAGGATATGCTAGCTTAAAGAGCTGTCTTATGCCTCAGAGTATAGCTGTTTTGCAGGGTCCTGGGCACATTTAGTCCTGTCTGGAATTCTTTCCCTTCACTGTTTTGTACTTGCTCTGTTTCAGTTTGATGTAACATAATTTTTTTTTTTGTACTTTCTAGTTTTTGACAGATGCAGTTACATAGTAGTAAGACAGTAAATAATAGATATTAGCTATTGCTATTACCTTCCATCAATTGTCATATTGCCTTGTTTATAGATGGTTTCGATTTGCACCCCATCTGCCTGGGAGAAAGACTACCTTTCAGCAGAAATACAGGATCCATTTGGAGTTGATTAAGTTAGTTTGTTGACAAATTACGATTTTTACTGGACCTTTAACTTGACACATAGATATGTTATTCTCTACTAAGAAGCTCTCATTTATTTAACATTTTCAGATCCTTGTTGGGCATCTATAAACAGAGGGATTCTGATCTGTGATGAGTGCTGCAGTGTTCATCGAAGCTTGGGACGTCACATCTCCCAAGTGAGACATCTCAAGCACACGCCATGGCCACCAACATTGCTACAGGTACAGAGTAAATGTTCATCTTCTCTCATTAAGCCTATATTCTTTTACAGTTTTTACAAAATTTAAATTGATGAACTTATATTTGGAGTGTGGTAATCCTTTCAATGTTTTTAAAGTTATTTTCTTTTTTTTTCTCTTGTTTCACCATAGTACATCACCAAGACCAGAATTGTCTATGCCTTTTTAATCTGATGCCTTTGATTTGGATGGTCACCTTCAGTTTGCTTGTCAGACTTCTGCAGTGCATCTGCTTCAACATAAATTCTCAGTATATAATGCAACATAACTTTTCACTGTATAATGAGCCTTTCTTTGCAGTAGAACTGCTCTTGGTGAGGAGCAGAGATTTTAAAGAGCTTCCTAGGACATTCCCCCCACTAACATGCAAGGTTCTGATATCCCACTAGGTGCTGGATAGTGGCACACGGAACGTGAATCCGCCTGTGTCTGCTTGGAAATTCCAGCTCCTTGGTAAGTCTGTGCAGCCAATGGTTCTTCACTGCCTGTTTTTGTGCATTTTGGATTTCAGATGGTTGAAACCCTGTACAATAATGGTGCTAACTCTATATGGGAACATTCTCTGCTGGACCCTGCATCTGTTATGAGTGGAAGGCGTAAAGCTAACCCACAGGATAAAGTACAGTAAGTGGAAAATTTACAGAGTTTTTCTTACTGTAGAACACACAAGTTCAAGCAAACTACAGCTAATAACAGTGTTCAGAATCAGGAGATACACTAAGCCTTTAATTTGGACTGTTCAAGATAGTTCTAGAACAGAATCGATTACTGTAATGATTTGTATGTTTTATATGTCTGTATGAGTGTGTGTATGTTTTTTAGCTGAATTGTTTTATGATATGTGTCTCACTTGATTGGAACACTAAATTCACTGGATATAGTTTTTGGATATAGTTTGGATATAGTTTTTCTTGGTGCTTTTGTCTATCAGATATTAGGGACACAATCCTCTTGTCTCTAGTTTCATTTGGAGCCTAGAGAAGGAAAATAGGGCTACATGTTCTTTTGATTCCTGATTAGCTTCAGTTGTACACTGAATAATGACATTAGCTGTCTTTCACCTTTGCTGCTTTTCTTACTCTTTACAGTCCCAACAAAGCAGAATTCATAAGAGCTAAGTATCAGATGTTAGCATTTGTTCATCGCTTGCCGTGTCGTGATGATGACAGTGTTACTGCCAAAGATCTTAGTAAGGTAACTTTTTTGTTTTATTTTTCCTTGCAGTCTGTGGAGGCTACAGCATGTGTCTAACAGCACACTGAAATCTGATCAAGTTAATTAGTTTTTGATTTAGTAGTGAGATAAATATTGTTGCTCTTCTGTACTATTATGTAGACAGATGACAGCTCAATTTCAGCATGAAGCAGCTTTCTTGGCAGTAGTATGCGTGGTTACTGGGTGGCTGAGAGCCGTAAACTTAATGTTCCCTTGAAGAAAAAGTCTAGCACAAAAAGGAGATACTAAGAATTTTTATACCTTTTTTCTAAAAGCACAATTGAAAAAGCTGAATCAAAATTATTACCATTGTATTAAGTACAATCCTGCTTGTTTTGCAGCAACTGCATTCCAGCGTAAGGACAGGCAATCTGGAGACGTGTTTGCGGTTACTGTCCTTAGGAGCTCAAGCCAACTTCTTTCATCCCGTATGAATGCTTTTTTTTCCATTATTTTATTAGATCAATTCTTACAGTTTTTGATATTTATACTGCTTTCAGCTACTACCTATTGTATTTCAATCTTATATTGAGATCTCTTGGTTATGTAGAATCACGTGTCTTTTTCTGAATAACTTGCAGGAGAAAGGAAATACCCCTCTTCACGTTGCTGCTAAGGCAGGACAGATTTTACAAGCAGAGTTGTTAGCAGTTTATGGTGCTGATCCGGGGACGCAAGATTCCAATGGAAAAACTCCAGTTGACTATGCAAGGTAGAAGGCTCTGACATCTGTAGTGCTTTCGTATACTAACTCATGTTCACAAACTACCTAATGAGCCTGCTTAGTTTTGTTTCTCAGCCCTGATACTAATTTGACTAATCTTGGCCCCTTGGAACATACATGCTTCTAGGAATTTGTTTTCAGTGATACTCTTAGGTGTGTGCATAATGTGTGAACATTGACCTAAGCTAAATTTGTCTGAGGTTTTCTTTCTTTTTTTTCAAGCTTTGTATCTTTTCAAAATGACTAATAAATGTCACCTTTTTTTCCTGTGCCTGTAAAACAGGCAAGGTGGGCATCATGAACTGGCAGACCGCCTGGTGGAAATTCAATATGAACTCACCGACAGGTTAGCTTTCTATCTCTGTGGCAGGAAACCAGGTAAGTACGAAAAACTGCAGGCAGAGGTCTGTCTTTCACTGTTGGTTATCAAGCAGTTCAAGCTATAGCACATAACATTGATGGCAAAAATATTGTTGTTCTTTTTATATCAATTTAAAATATTCTAACATTATATAGATTAAATGTGAAATCCTAAAACTTCAATTAGTGATATAATGCATTTAAAATTCAAATAAAATTGCAGAATACAAGTATCCTTAAATTAAAAAATAAGTTTCTTAGTTTTCCAAAAATAAAAAGTGTTTTCTTTAAGGAGAAAACTTCTGAAGGCATGGAGAAATCCATCCATAAGCTGAATATTGTTTGGGTGAATCACAAGGGAAATGTTAAGTGTATAAAAGTTGAACATTCTACAGAAAATACTGTTGAAACATTTAAGTAGCCTCACTGAAATGCAGAAGCAAGGGGATGCTCAGTTAAGTTGAAGTGTAGTATGTACTGTATGTACTTCTTGAATATAAGAACATTTGGAAATTCTTAGCCATAAAGTGCTATAAAACCACCTAAACAAGAACATGAGTTTTATGGTTCTTTTTTGTTTGTTTTTAAGGAATGTTAATACAATAGCTAAGGCTTTTTGGAATCTCTGATAACACTAACAGTGGTAGGAATCTCCTTTCAGGGCTTACTAGTTTCTTATTATTGGAAATTGAGAGAGCACATGTAGATCTGATACCTACTATGTATTTTGACAACATTGAAAACTGTATTAAGGTATAATTTGTTTTCAATTCTAGAGCATAAAAATGGACAGCACTTTATTATACCTCAGATGGCAGACAGGTAAGTTGATGATTCCATAACATGTATCAAAACCTCAAAATAAGTGGACAAAAAATCTAGTAATAAAGCTTACTTTACTTGTTGTAATAGCTATTAAGCTTGTTGTAATTTTATCTTCTTATCAAGTTTGTTTTCTCTCCAGAATAGAATATTACAGTTTAAATCAGAAAAATAGAAAGTTAAAAAGAAAATACATGGGGAAGATGACACAGTTACACTAAAGCCCATGAGAATTTCTGGGAAACAGGCTTTGTAAATAACAATCTCCTGAATTAGCCCTTTGACACAGTATTTCAGAATTTACACTTGCAAGATGGTTGTATTTTTCTCTTAAAATACTTGTACTTTTGGTCCTCTAAATGTTCAGATGTTTTGATCGTGGTTAGTGAAATTGCATTTGTATAAAAAACACCAAGTATTAACCAATCATAAGTCCTTATTTTTCTTTTATCGCTATGCAATTGGAAATAAGGCGGCTGTAAGTAAATTATGTTCAACTCCTTCACATTTTTTTAATGATAAAACTGTAATCAATGAAAAATTGTAGAGGGAAGACATGTTGGTAGAATGCTTAGTGGTGATGTATGTAATTTTTAGTCTGTATTTAGATATTGGATAGAAAGCATTATATTTTAATTGCAAGGCATTTTGCAGAGCGAGTGTACTTTGCCTCATTGAACAGAGAAGAAAGCTGAGGCACAAAGCAAATAACTTGTTCAAAGATGCTCCTCAAGCTGCAGTCTGCAGGATAACGTGAGAGTCTCACTCTGCCTGCTCTCCTCCCCTCGACTGTCTCCCTTTTTCTTCTAGATGACTGCCTACACAAACTAAAAAAATCATACAAGTATAATAAATATAGATGAAATTAAGGAGTATCAAGTAGAAGTGAACTCTTCTAATCATTAAATGTAAGCCTGTTTGTAGAGTTGGTGCTTAGGGAGCTTTCCGATGCTGTAGATACAATGATCACGTTGTTGTTTTCATAGCAGTCTCGATTTGTCAGAACTTGCAAAAGCGGCTAAGAAAAAGCTTCAATCCGTAAGTAAAGCTTCCGGTGTGTGCTCTGCAACGTGCTTTTCTCCTGACATGGCAAACTGTGCTTCATCTCTCAAGCCTATTCTGGCTGCTATTAATTACTGCATATATAACTGTCACTTTTGTAGCAAGAAATTTAAATCTGGAGAAAGAGATGAAAATAAGCTGAAATGGAGGAGAGAAGATAACAGATCCATGGCAGACATGAAATATTTGTTGGCCTTGCTTGGGGTAGTAGTATCTGGGTCTGTCTCTATTTCAAAAACCTTAATGTTGTAATTTGTCTTGCTGTTGCATATTTTATAATAATTTACATGTTAAATGTCACTAGCAGTTTTTAACTTTCTGGGATGCCAGAATAGTGAGTCACAGAATGCTGTTTAGTTTATCGTAATGCCAGTTCTTAAGGTGTTTGACTAAATTTTTATGCAAGTTAGGATGGGAGGTGTTTTCACTCTACTTAACTTTTGAGCATGTCTGCCCTCCTCTGGCTATTTTTTCAGCATGTTTAGTTCACTACTTAGGCTGCACAGTAAAGCTATATATTAAGCAGAGTTATGCACTGACATTTTTGATTATATAGAGGTCTTACTAGGTTTTATTTCCAAGCTGTAATTATTATTATTCTATTCTTAGCTAAGCAACCACTTATTTGAAGAACTTGCCATGGATGTGTATGATGAAGTTGACAGGAGAGAAACAGATGCAGGTGAATGAAGCTTTCTGGAGTGTGTATAAAATTGATTTGAACAGATATATTACATTCAAGATGCTAGTATAAACTACCTAAGCTAAGATTTAGTATAAATTACATAGTTTTTGTATTCAGAAATTACTGTTATTGGTAGTTTGCTTTTCTACTGTCAACATTTGACAAGAAACTTCTTTCAAATAACAGAAAAATATATATTTCCTTCCCCAAAACAGTTTGGCTTGCTACTCAAAATCATAGTACACTTGTGACAGAGACAACAGTAGTCCCTTTTCTTCCTGTCAATCCTGAGTATTCCTCAACCAGGAATCAGGTATGTGATCTTTCTAATACTACAAAAATATTTTCATTTCGTAGGCCAAGTATTCAAAGTAATATTCCTTTCCTCCGTTTCATTACTGTGAAAGCATTGCATGTACTTGTAGAGAGGTTAAAACAGTTTCACCTTAAGGCTACCTTGGAGTCTTATTTAAGTTATTTAAATAAAATCACACTTACTTTTCCAAGCAAATGTAGCTGTCAGCTCTCTGCACATACTAGAGTCTTTGTTTTACTCTAGAACTGTACTGTTCATATAATTTTTTTTTTTTCCTCCCCCCCATCCTCTAATTTAGGGAAGACAGAAACTGGCTCGATTTAATGCCCATGAATTTGCTACATTAGTTATAGATATTTTAAGTGATGCCAAACGAAGACAACACGGGAATCCACTCACTGGTTCAAAAGGTGAATATGCTCTTGGTTGTCAGCTGTTCCATATGCCGTGTGTCAGTGATTAAAAGCATACCATCATTTAAAAGTACTTACATTAATGAAGAGATATATATTGTTCTTATAAGTGACAGCAAGAGATAAACAGACACATGGATAGCAGGCTGTTGACAGCAATATGATACTGGGTATGATTTTATGATTGCTAGTCAACTTTACAGATGACTTGTGAACTTGTAATTTCTAGGACTACACTAATCAAATAATACCTTACTCAGCTATATTTTTAATTGTCACTCTGGTCAAAGTTCTGCTCTGTGTGCTTTTATTATGGGATTAAGTGTGCCCTTTCACTTGTGTTTCTAACTTTTTAGTACACATTTTCAAAATTCTGTTTTTTTTTACAGAAAATGTGGAACTGATACTGAAGTCAATCAGCAATCAACACAGTAATGAAAGCCAAGATAATGATCAACCTGATTATGACAGTGTTGCTTCAGATGAAGATACAGATCTAGAAACAAATGCATCTAAATCAAGCAGACAGAAGGTAGGTTTAAAGTGTTTATACACAGGCACCAAATTTTATTGATAAAGGTAACCAAAAGTCACTAATTTTCCTCATAATAAGGGAATCTAATATGCATAAGTGATCAGATGTGATCAGTTTTAATTACTTTTCACCTTTATTTCAGAATCATGCCTCAGTCTATAAGGTTTTTAACAAAATTAAATGTTGTGGCTTAAATTTGTTATAAATAAAATGCTCCTTTAGGGAAACAGAGCTTAAACTGAGCACATCTGGGTGTAAACTACAGACTTATTATGCATAGATGAGCTGTGTTGATTGACATCCGATTTCTTTTATAATAGTCCAAAGTTATTTTAATGAGTGAATGTTATTAATTTGAACTTGATTCAAACCACGATTCCTTTAAAGTTACCAAGGAAAAATCCCTTGCAATCTCACTGTCTTGTTTTCTTGCAGTAGTCTGTTGCTCAGTAGTGTAAGCATTTTACCCTTGCTGTTTGTAGAGCCTAGATTCAGACTTGTCAGATGGCCCAGTGACAGCCCAAGAATATCTGCAAGTCAAAAATGCTTTGGTGGCTTCTGAGGTAAAGATTCAGCAGTTAATGAAGGTGAACATCAACTTGAGTGATGAGCTGAGAATCATGCAGAAAAAGGTAACAAGCACAATTAACTCTTTTGTATGTTTAGTAACATTTATCTTAATTTCATTGACTAGAATAGCACCACTCAATTCAATAAACCAATATAAGGGTGGTGAGAACTTGAAATAAAGCTGTTGTATCATATCCATTTCCAACAGAAATATATGTTCTTTTTTGTGGACATATTGATCATCTTAGCTCACTTTGACAATTCTTCCTGGTGATGAGACAATTGTGTTAAATTGTGTATACTTTTGCTATTTTAGCAGTTTTCAGCACTTATGACATAAGTGTAGCTTGCTCTTCAACTTTTCCAGTAGATCTTCTGTTTCATTCCATTAATAATATATAGAGTATATATAGAATGTGCGGAAATTAAAACCCTAACAGTTTTGTCGGGAAAGATTCTGAAGTGTGGGGATAAATATCAATTCTTTTTGTGTATAAGGAGGCTAAGATTTACTTGTTTGAATGCAGGTCTGTGGGAAGGAGAATGTAAGAATATTGTGTATTTTTAATTTTTCCTTACAATATTCAGCATTTGGAAACCTACAGTGTGTTTGTCTAAACAAGGATAAGGTAGAGATTTCACTTAGACTACAAGATACTCTGTATAGATATACTTACACAAACAACAAAGTGATCATTTCTGCTAAAATGCTGAATTTAAAATCTGGGCTCTTAAAACTGTTTTAGAAGTTTATAATAGAATTAGAAAGTTTGACAAGTCATGTCACCTCTGAAAGGCCAAAGGTTAGTCTTCATGTGCAAGCAAATAAATTTTCATAAACATAATTGAGATAGAAGCAAAAAATCAGGATGCAATGCATGCTTATCTTGAAGGAAAGTGAGCTTTTAGGATTACTGCCAATGTGTAAATTGGATTGCAAAAGATAAAACTGCTGAAAATTAACAGGAGATAAGCCCTTTCATTGTCACTTAGGACACAAACTTGTCTTGTAGGCTGTCAGTTCTTGATGCTAGGATGTGACTGGAGCCCTAATATTGGGGGTGTGTGAAGTTAGCTACCAAACCATTCAGAATTTGTTTTGTGCTTTGCCACTAGTTGGGGTAAATGGACAAACCAGACTTTTTTTTTTTCCCCCCCATGAGATAAGGGAGGACTTAAGATTACTGAATTCTCTATCCTGTCTGCCTAGCTGAGAAAGGGCTGGATACCCTCTCAAAGGGATTCTCTTCACTAGTGTTAAAAATCCTGTTTTCCAAGTAATTACGAGACTGCAGTACTTTGAATTGCAGCTGTGGTACTTTGAATTGCAGCTGCAGAAACTCTCGCTGCACTGACCCTGTGCTTAGGAGTCTTCAAGCTTTGCTGCTGCACAGGTGGACTTGGGCTGAGGGTTACATGAACACAAGCCAAAAACAGGTATTTTTCCCCCTGTCATTTTGGAGCAAAGAGTCTGAATCGTTGGAGAGTGGTGGGTGGGATTAGCATCTAAGATTAAGCAAAATCAGCAAATGCAAATACCCTCTTAGGTTCAGTACAAGCCTTTTATTACAACTTAGCCTTTTAGGCCTCCTGGAGTGAAAAATAGAGAGGAACATCAGATGTCTCCATTTTTTTTCAATGCCACTTGTACTGCTTAATCATTTTTCTACATTAGTTAATTTACCTTTTCACTGATACTGAAATTCTTTAGATTTAATCTCTTCTGAGAAAAAGAAAGATTCCTAAGGCCTGTGGATTAATGTGGCTTTTAGTGTATGTGTTTGTGATGCAGCAGCAGGAGATCATCGCTGTTGTGTAGCAGAATAGGCTTTGAGAGCTGACATGCCGTGACTCACTCATTCTGCAGATCAGTTGTGCTGATTTTGTCCTGGTGATGTAGAAAGTTATTGGATTTCTAACTGGGATTTTACCTGTGAAGGGCAGATACAGCAAAGCAGGAGGAAGGGAGAGCAGCTGGTGGCCGCGAAAGGCTGTGGGGAACCTCCGTGCCCTGGGGCTCCTGGTGGCCACTGGGCCAAGGCACCTCTGGACTGTCCTGCTTCAGCAGCTCTAAAGCAAGAGACTCCATTGGAGCATCAGGCTCTTGGGGGATTTTTACATTTTTATATATATAGTTTTCTAAGCACAGAAGCTTATAAGCTAAAAATTCTCTTCACTTTACACATCACCTTGTTAGCTAACTGCGTACCTGATCTTTTGCATGCCAATTATTTGGGAAAGATGCTAATTAAAGAAAAGGCAAAGCTGTACTTATGCATGCTACTTACAAATAGATTCTTCCTAAATAAAAATAGACATTCTGATGGGGAAAAGAAAAAACCTTTTTAAAAGCTTGCATATTTGTTTATGTACCTAGAGGTGATAAGGCAAAGTTGATCTATTTAATTGTCCCTGATGTCAAACTCTAAAGAAATAGCTTAGTTTCTGGCTGGTCCTTGAAGCTTCATACATGGAAACCTTAATACACAGTGTATCTTACTACAGAGTACACAGAAGGAATGTGGAAAAACATAAATTATCTTGATAAAAGTCCCCACACTCAGTTTAGAGGTCTGGGAAATGCTCCAGGCAAAATGGAATTTTTTTTTTTAGTGGAATTAATGTTCTTGAAAGTTGATATGGTGCAAAGTAAATGCAAGTAATAAATGTACAATTTCTAGATAAAAGGCTGTCAGCTGTTTGAAATATATTCAATATATTGTTGGAGAATTATTGGTACTGAAGTACTTTTTATCTTTATGATGTGTTAATATAGCAAACTTACTCTGAGTAACATCACATAAAAACGAGATTTTTTTGCATTTTTACTATCCACCAAATGTATATGATAAAGAGCGAAAATTAGTTCTTGTTGGCTTTGTAGAAAGCAGTAGCTGATACTTCATTTTCATAAGCTAAAACTCTCCTCTTGCTTTGCAGAGCAAGCTCTAGTTTTCTTTGCGCTGCCTCTGGCCTCTGTGCTATAATTTTGGCATTTGCAAACTTCATGGACCTTATGTTAAAGTCCTCTCTTAAGCCTGGTAGTGACTGCTGAAGTGGATCGCTTCACTTTAAAGGTTGTTTTCTTGGCAAGCCCTCCCCAATTTGCCTCCCCAGACAACCTCATGGCATTACACGACTCACGTGCAAGTACAGTTAGGCTGGAGGAAATTGATTGTGTGCTCTTAACTCCAACCATTTTGAGATGCTGCAAATCAGCATGTAAGTATTTACGGCATCAGGAGCCTAGATGTTTCTGTGCTTATGCTAAGCAAATGAAGCAATTTCTGAAAAAGACATGGAGCTGCAGCTGCCGGTGGCTGGATTACTAGTAAAGCTGACAAGCGTGTACCTGAATATTCAGTTTGCTTTTGACGCTTGCTATTAGAAAAACAAAGTCCCACTGCTAAACATTTCTTTCAGCTTCAAACGCTGCAGAGTGAAAATACCAACCTCAGAAGACAGGCCACAACCAATATATATCAGGTCCAAAGTGGTTCTGAATACACAGACCCTACCAACAATTCTTCTTTAAAGCGACGACCGTCTGCCCGGGGTAGCAGACCCATGTCCATGTATGAGACTGGATCGGGGCAGAAACCCTACCTCCCCATGGGAGAGGGCACTTACCCCGAAGAGAGCATAACGAGACTGCAGCCTTTCCCTGCACATGTAAGTAAAACTGCTGGTGCTTCTGCCTCTCTCCTCATGTTCAGCTTTTCTTTCTGTTCCAGCTGTGCGCATAAACTGGTGCTTCTCAACTGTTTGCTTTGTAGTAAATCCGAACTGTAAGAATTGTTACTGTTTGCTGTATTAACATGTCTGCAGGAGCTTGATGTTTTGGAGAGTAGAAACTATAACAATTCCTGGAGATGTAAACTGGAGCTCTTGGCTTCTGCTCAGCTCTTTTAACCACAGTGTATTTGCCAAATATTTGTGTGAATGTTTCAAAACCAGGTGTGTTGGGGAGAAAATAGTTTTCAAGAAGGTAGGTATAGTTCGTGGGTTTCTTTCATGAGATACACAGGCATGTGCCTATTTGTGGAACTTTAAAACCTCCTTCCAAAAAGAAAATAAAATTGAAGATAACATTTTTCATAAGGCAACTCTTTTTTTTGTCTTTTTTATTCTGAGTTTGTGAAACCTGAGGCTGAAGACAGACCTGTTAGTTGAACGTTTTTTTCTGGATTAGCATTTTTTTTTTTTGTATGATGCCCTAATAAGGAAGAAAGGCCCGTATCGGCCACTAGGATTCTGCACAGGGATTCTGCACCCACTGCAGATAAGTGGCCCAAACTGCATTAGTGCTTATTAAAGATAATTGTGGCAACTTTTTAAACTGCCTTGTGAGAAGGCATATGTGAGAGTATTTCCTGCAAGCCCATATTTAGCATTTGGGGATTTGTTCCAGTGTGTTCTGTTTCTTGTGCTCTGTGTTCTCCTGCCACATGAGCATTTAAGCCCTTTAAATGTATTTGAAAGGTACCATTTCTTGCCTGGCATGGAGGAAAGCAAACGCTCTATGAACATCCCAGCGATGACAGTGGATGCCAACAGCAGGAGCCCCCCAGGCGATTAGTGCAGATTTTTTCCTCCCCCTTCAGTTGAATTAATAAAAACTCTGAACAAACCAAAATCTGTATCATTCCAAATGAAGCTGGTGTGCCAGTGTGAAGGTGGTTCCAGCAAGAAGTAGTATAAGAATTCTCATGTTCTTGACAATGCAGGCAAAACATGATAGTGCTCTTGTACAGGTCTTTCACATTTCTCATTTGGTTTTAAATTTGGCTGCTTAGCCGCAGTGGTTCTAAAGCTTTGATTTGTTCTGTGGAGACTGGTTAATTTGGTACGATGGTGAATAGATTGTATTCACTGTGGAATTTGTCACCTCCAGAATAACAGTGTCACAGCAATAAGTCAATTGTGTCTGGAAAGAATTAAATCCACTCAAGCTCAACCAAGTTCTCAATATCATTCTTGCTTTATGTCATCTCCTTGGTTTTAAGAATGTTCCATTATTTCACTTCAGAGTTATTTGTGTTTTGTTTTTGGTTTTCCCGAGTGTTTTTTTTTTTTTCTTTCCCATTTTTAGATCGGGAGGAGTGCGTTTGTGACCTCCTCTTCATCTCTACCTTCCTTCCCCTCCACGCTTTCCTGGTCAAGGGATGAAAGCACCCGAAGGGTTAAGTACCTTCCCAATTAGTCTTTTACCTGGAGGAGGTGGCAATCATCCAAAAAGCCCTCATGCCTCTGTCCTCTCCCCTTTGTGCTAACTGGCCTTCGTGCCTGCATGAAGCAGCATTTCAGCATTTTGGTTTCTTTTGTCACATTCTGTGGATATTTGCCTCTCTCTAACGTCACAACAGCTAAAACCTTCAGCATTTAACACCATGCACAAAGTTGCTCCAAATCACTTGTTCAACTGCATAGCACTGAAAACAATCAGAGGACAAGCTGGTTGCTGTTTAAAAAGTAATTTGGTAGGCACTTTCCTGATATTTCATAAGCCAATATATAACTTTTCCTTCTGACTAAAATGCATTGCATGAGGCACAGGAATGCTCACGGGGCTCCGGCTTCAGCGGCTGCTTTCTCTGGGGCTGTCAGTTTGCATCCAATCCCCCATGGTCCTGATTGACAGTTTGTCTTACAGATGTTCAGCAGCTTGTTTGAAGTGAGTTCTCTAAGGGGCCCAACAGGTAACGCTGCAGATTGCCTGCCAGGTTAATACCAGCTAGCTGGCTTTCTGCTTACCTTGGCAGGCAGAGGACCAGAAAGGCACGGAAATTGCTTTGAGCAGGACTCCTTTCAGGTTAACATTGAAGACATTGTGATAGAATATGAAGGAAGTTCACATTGGTGTTCCATGGGGATCTGCAAAACTTTGTTAGTCACTATGCTGAGTTTAGGAAGAAAAATTGTTATGGTACTGGGAAACAGCAAGTGCATTCTGTATGGTCATGTTTTCTCAAAGGCACTGTTTTTGTTGCAGCCTCCTACATGAGCTTTAGCTATGTAGAGAAGCATTTTCCAGCTTCTTACACTTTTCTAATTATTTTTCTCTCTTTTTTATAGTGGGACATTTACATTTGTTCTTATTCAGGTTCATTTGCTAGAAGTTAGCATAAAATGCTACCACAAAAGGACAAATTGAGTGTGTCCGGGATGGTAAACAGTTTGCTAGACTAGTGCATTTGTGACAGGCAGCTTCCTAGGCTACATTTTGTGTGGGATTCTAGGAATAATTCTAAGTTGCATATTCTAGAGTTGCAAATGTAACGCGCTTTTACACTCTGAATAATTTCAGGTTCTGGTTGTGGAAAGGCTTTGTAAGACTGTAATGGATCCAGAGTAGGCAATTTACTACAAAGTGATAGAAATTTTAAGCGCGTATCCTTCTGCACAGTCAGATGTGAATCTGGGTTTGCCTGCAGCTATCAATACTGTGCTCTTAGAGTATGGTGGAACCTCAAAGCTTGAGGGTTTAGTTTTGCTTCCAAGCATTCAGGGATTTTGCTGCTATTTCAAGATCTTGTTTTCCTAGATGGTTGTTGTCTTGGTATTTTTCACCATAACGTACAGCCCTGCTGCTCATCAAGCTGTTGTCCATCGTACCCCTGCGAGAAGGGAAGGGTCAGAACCTGCATGTAGTAGTTTTGTATCTTCCCTGGTTCTCTGCCACTTGGTCTTTGTCCACTGCCTTGACAGATGATTCAAAAGGCAACTTTTTTTTTAAAAAAAAAGTGCATAATGAATGGAATGGGCCCAACCAGTGAAAAGCATTTTCTGGTTTTTATTCATGTTGCTCCTCATTCCTGAGGGCAAAAACACTGTCCTGACTGTATGCATCAGGGATGCTGCCTGAAGGCAGCCTTCCCCGTCTAACACCTGAGGCCCCTTGGTCTTTACCTCCGTTTCTGCAGGGCTCGGGGTGGTTCTGCAGCTGGGCTGGCAGGAGGCCCCGTTGGGTGAGCGGTGCCAGCCGTGAACGAGCTGGAGCTGATGTGACCCCAGGCGTCCTGGCCGCAGGTGACACCGATGTGGATGTGACCCTGGATGTCCTGGCTCGGCCAGGGCCCTGGCCACAGGGTGACACCGATGCACTGTGCTCACGGACGAGCTGTAGCAGCACATCCGAACAGCTCTGCAGGTTTAAGGTTAGAGCAGGTGTGGATGATCCCTGGCCTAGGGTAGGAGTGTGCCTCCAAGGAGCCTGAACTCAGAACTGCTGTGGAATCGGGACAGCAGGTATGGATGGCGTGTGGTCATCTAGGCTGTATTGCTGGTATCAACAATACCAGGAGCGCAGCCGAGGTCAGGGAAGGGAGACAGCACTGCCCAGGGAAGCTTGCTGAGAACCTCTGAAGCCAGTGCTTTGTTGACGAGTAGGGGCTACGTTGGCATCTGCACGGTGCTGTTCTTGAGCTGTCCTAGCCAAGCATTGCAGGGGAGAAGAGTCATGATGAAGGTATGTAAGAAAAAAAACATGCAGCAGCGTCACCCTCTTACCCACGGATCTGCACTGGGCAGTGTGCACTGTGTCTGCTGAGGATGACGGGGTAACTTGCTCTGGAACAGGGTGCTCCCAAAATCCTGATGGCTTGGGGACACGGCCCAGGGTCTGCTGCTCCATGTGGGCTTGCTGGGACCCTCGGCGGTCCTGGCTCTTGGAATGCCCAGTGCAAGGGAGAGCAGGAGAGGCTGCCGCAGCGAGCGCGGCTTCCAGGAGAGCTCACGCACCATTTCTCTATAGAACTGCCCATAGCAGCCTGGGTAAAACACCTTCTGTAACGCAGGTCTGATTTGTACTCTAGGGAAGAATTTCTCATTAAGAAGGTAATACTTAACTAAGGAACTAGTGAATTTCTTGATTTGGAAGAAGGGAATGGCCTTTAGCATGTATGCTGTAAGCATACTAAGCATCAAAGTCAATTGGGTAAAAGGAAGAAAAACACATGACAGCTGAAACAACAGCAGCTTGAAGTGTGTGAATGAGTAACCTAGAATTGAGCAGTGAATAATAGTGGGGTAGACTGAGTTTGAAAAATAAGACTGGTACAGGAACTTTTATGCAAAAGAACAAACCAATGTGCATAGATTATGCGTGAAAATAATTGTTTTTTGTTTTTAAACATACTACTTAAATAAATATTTATTTGTTGTAGGCCTCAAAAATAGAAAAACAGAACAGCATGCCTGAAAGTGACTATGATAACCCCACCACCAGTTTGGAGCTGGATGAGACAGGGTAGGTCTGATGACATGTGGAGCTGATGCTTAAAAAGACAAGAGAATTATTGAAGCAATAATGAAATTCTGTTGCGCACTGACAATGTCAATATTACCCTTTTCCAGGTCTGGTAGAAAAGGAAGGCAGAGGAGTGTCATCTGGCAGGGGGAAGGGTCTATCCCTGAAGACACTGACACAGCCCCCAGCTCCAGTTTGCCCAGTACAGAGGATGTGATTCGGAAGACTGAACAGATCACTAAAAATATTCAGGAGCTACTGAGGGCAGCACAAGAGAACAAGCATGACAGGTAAGTGCTGAGGTCCTTAAGTTCTGGAGTTTATGGAGAAAATCAAGCAGACTTAGTACTGACCTGCCTGTCTTCCACGGAAGGACAGGGACAAGGACAGGGACAAGGAGCAGGACTTGCGAAAGACCCGCTGCAGGATGCAGGATTGCAAGATGCAGGCATGTAGTGCACGCCTAAGGCTCGAGGGGAATAAGTATTGCAGAGAGCTTGGTATGAGCAGCATTTCTGTTAGCTCCTCAGACTGCAGGAGAGCTAGGTAAGAATGCCCCAGGGAAATGGGACTGCAACACTGAGGCTTATTTCAGGAAAAAAAATCAAGGGCAGCAGAACTTGGCCTTCATGTTCAAATAGCACTTCTCAGTGTGGCAGCATTTGTTATCTCTAATCTGCTGTCCTGAGGGCTTGTTTGAATGGGAGTTTTGCGGTGGTGGTGTTTGGTTTTGTTGTTTGTCCTTTTTAGAAAGAAACAGATAAGGTGCCAGCAAAAACTATTTCTGAACTGTTAGTTTAGGCACAGGGATACCTCGGTAAGTGGTGACTGCTTGTCAGCACATCAGTTAACACTCAGCCCAAGCTCCCTCATGTAATCTGTAACCAAACCTTGTGCTTATTTTTGCTGATTATCCCTGTGCAAGTGCTGCTGATATTGTCACTATCTAATCGTGACAATCTTTCTGACTCCAGGGCCCATACAATTCTTTGCCTGCTAAATGACTGGTGTTTTCGTAAAACCCCCATTTCCTGAGTTACTGAGGAAAATGGACAACAATGGGGCTATTTTGTTCGGTTTCTTTCCGTTCTTGTACTCCGCTATTTTTAGAAGGCCCCGTGCACGACCTCTGGAGTCAGTTCTGGGACGAGTGGAGAGCTCGAGTGTTTCTGATGAGCACGTTGCCCTTGTCCCTGACTTTCTCCCTGGCATCTTTGATGTTTGCTTGCCTGTTCCTCGAAGATGAGAATCAATGCTCCAGATAGGTTTGATTGGGTGTCGCTGCTTATGGAGTTCAAATTAAAAAATCATCAAAAGCAGCAATGCAGCATAGCAACAGCTTGTGCTGTTGAATTCACTAGGTTGTTTCAAAAACCTGTTTATTTTTTCTGTTCTGTACCACAAATAGCATATGTTGTTTGCCAGTATTTAAATGACAAGACGTACAGACCGCTGAGCTGTGAAACTGAAGTCCTTTGTTTTCCTAAGCCTTGTCTTTGTTTCCATGGGCCAGGATTTCCATAGCATGCATGGAGCATAGGAGGCAAGATGAGTAGGTTTGTCCCACCATTCCCCTCTAGCATTAGGAGAATGCTTCCTTAGCAAACGGGATATTCAGAACTGGAATGATACAGCTGGGAATGTTAGAGATGAAAGTGATGTGCTGTGCAGATAGCTGGACAGGAGTAGATTATATTCTTGTATTCATTTCATTAATGAAATACCTTTTTCCTTTTTTCCTCACTTTTTTCTTGTTCTCTTCTCCGCTCGACCGCCCCGGCAGAGCGCTGGAGCGGGCAGGGCTGCCCGGGCTCAGCCGCGGCCCCGCGCGCTTCCGCGCGCTGCTTCCCAGGCCCGGGAGAGCGGGAGAGCTTCCCTGCAGCCTCCTGGGCTCCGGCAGCCGCATCCCGCCTCCTGGTGCCCCGGCCTCTGCCCCTGCCTGCCAGGCACGGTGCCCTCCTCGTCCCTCCTCCCTCGGCGCCGGGGTCGTGCCGGGCTATGCATGAAACCGGAGGGGCTGGGAAGCAGCGGGGCCGGGAAGCCGGCAGCGGGAGCAGCTCCTGGAAACCGCAGCCAGGTCGAGATCCTCCTCTCCCCATTCTGTTTATTGGCCATCAATACAGACCGTGACAACCAAGAGCACCACGTCCTGCTGCTGGTTTTGATGCTGGTGTGAAAATACGATTTTCATGGCCCCAACTTCCAGCATTCAAACCTTAGTGAAGCTCTTAACCCACTCGCTATACAAACAGTTAAAACAAGATAATCCCATTCTTCGTTGATCTTGGATCAATGAACAAAGACTTACCTGTAAAATATTTATACCAGTATCTTGCACCTTGAGCAGAAATATTGTTATTAATGCCTAAAATGCAGCCAAATTTAATTCTTTAAAATTTTCAAGTTTTAACACCAAACTTTATTGCCAGTGATAAACATCAAAATCTGAGCAAGAGGTTACCTCAAGTCCTCAGTTATTGTTAATGATGGCTTTTTGTTTTCCTCCAAGTTTACACACATTTTCAAGTAGTTAAAGCTTATCAAATGTGTCAGCTTATTTAAAGAGGGTACGGGCAAAAATACCACCATTCCTCCAAGGTGTGCTAAAAACTCGGCAGCAAACCCAGAAAGTTGGAGAACGTTATGAAATAGGTGTCTCCAGCACAAGTTTCTTTTATTCAAGCAATTCTTACAGCTTTTTCTGTGCTGTTGGTGGTGCTTTAACCAGCAAACAGGCTTTTATGTGGGATAAGGCACTGCTCAATGTGTCTTACAGGAGGCAAATTGTTAGCCCAGTAGCAGAATGGGGATTACAATGAACTTGACGTATAAAGAGATTTTCTTCCACGTTAGTTATTTGAAAGGACTTGTGGTTTGAGACGTATGGAAATACTTCCTTTTTAAAGCAGTTTTTTCCTGCATTGCCCAAATGACCCCCGTGTGTTGCTGTTTCAGTGCGTTTGATGGGTTTTTGCACCTTTGGTACTGCAAGATCGCTGCCTGTCACTCGATTGTGGGGTTTGTTTGCTGGGTTTGAAAGGGCAGGGATGTGTCATAACCAAGAGCTGCTGAGCACTTCTCTGCTGGGCTTCTGCTTTGGGATTTTGACCCTAATTATGATTGCACTGTGTTAACTAACACAAAGCTGAGTCTTCAGCGCATGAAAATGAGTCTTTTGAAACTGGGCTTTTTTGGACCATACTAACAGAATGCTTCACAATTTATGGCAAATAGAACTAAGATGTAGCTCGAATAGACCTGTTTTCATTTGGTGTATGATTAAGATGTGAAATTTGTGAGGGCTAATGGGATTTGTTATCACTTATTAACTCAACAGGATTACTGAAAACAGCCCAGAGCGTATATACACCGTGACAGCAGCTCGTGGTTTAGCAGTGCAGACTTGTAAGCTGCTCCGGGAGCCCTTGCTCCTTGTGAATTGGCAATCCATTGTGTTTGAACTCATCAGAGAAGGCAGAAGGGATTTTTTTTTGGTTAAACTTCACTAAAAAAGCAAGTGGGTGTCCTGCTTTTATTTGTGAGGGGAAAAGGGGCAGCCTCTGCATGAGGTGACATTCCCTGTGGAACTGAAAATGGGCTGGAGAGGTGTGGAAATGAATGGTACATGAATTGATTCACCTGTGCATGCTCTCACCTACAGAACAACGTGTTGAGCCTGCCTAGACTGACTCCAACAGGCTGAGCAACTTTCTGCAGTCACTTAGAGTCAAACTGAAGCATTTCAATAATTTTTAGATAATGACAAGGTGTGAATTAATGTGCAATTAGTATTTGCAGATGTGTTTCTGTAATTGAGTACAAATTGAGACTTTATTCTGATGATATTTGGTATAACAGGTGTGGACAATCATTCCTCAATCTTTGATCAAAGACAGATCAAGATTGAAGAACTTACAGATCAAGATAGAATAACTACTTAAGGTTTTTTTTTCCCTGAAGACACATAGTGTGGTTGTACTGCAGCACAAGTCTGTATATAAGGAAGCGTCACCATAAGGTGTTTAGGTTCTTGTGCCTCAGTTTTTTTGAGGGAAATTGAAAAGGAAAGAGTCTTTACATGGAGAATAATGTGTTGCATTTTTCTTGCAGCTACATACCGTGCTCCGAGAGAATACATGTGGCAGTAACAGAAATGGCAGCCTTGTTTCCAAAAGTAAGTGTTTTTGGTGTTTTAAGTAGCTTGGCCTCTTTCTGCTCTTTGTTATAAATTCTACTGCAGTAAATGAAAACCAAAACTGTGTTTTAAGTAGCTTGGCCTCTTTCTGTTCTTTGTTAGTAAATTCTAAATGAAAACCAAAACCAGAAGGTAGGGAGAAGTGACTAGGTGTTTTTGCCAAATCTTGCATTGTGTTTATTGCCATGCTGATTGGAAAGGGTTAATCTATGAATCCAGGCCTTAAGGTGGAAGGTTAAAGAAGTCCATGCAGTTCCCCTAAGAGTGGAGGATCTTTCATCTGGCTTAAGCAATCGTGTGGTTACACTGGAATTTTGCTAGACTAATCAGCCCCAGCCTTGCAGTGTGATGCCACTGCTCGGCTGTCCTGGTACAGTCATTTCAGACTGTTCACTCTGAAGCAGCCTGCTTCTTCAGAGCAGATTTTAGCTGGTGAGTGACATTTCCAGTTGTCATATCTACATCTGAGACTGCCAAGACGAGTAGCCTTTTGTGTCGTTAGACAAGGGGGCTGTCTGAGATCAGATAAATTACTCTCCATTTTGAGAGTAATTCAAGACCCGTGGTTGAAGTGATTTTTTTCTAGTACAAAATAATTCGAATGACTGCGGTCATCTCAACCTCAAATGTTCTGGAATCCGAATCAGATTTTCTTCCTGCTCCAATACTGCCGAAAATTCAGGTGTGTTCCTATGTGACCCCATTAGTGACACAGTCACAGACTGCACATCTGGGTTTATTCCCTGTATGAAAAATCTGTTTTGGGGCCTCCCTGGAGGCTGGTGACCAGAAAGCCCAGCTGGATGAGCAGCCATCCTGGGGAAGGCAGGATGGGGTCAGGGAAGAGCTCTTGGGCTGCCCCAGTCATCGGTGGGGACCTTGGAGAGCAGAGCCCTGTGTCCAGTGTTACAGAACACTAATTCACAACTGCTGGCTAATTAAAAGTCAAACAGTTTGGTACCATCTACTTCAGCTTTTGCTTTTCCCTTCCCTTCCCAGAAACCCAAATCTGAACTGGTAAGGACTTCCTTGCGTCTGCTGACATCTAGTGCCTACAGACTCCAATCCGAGTGCAAAAAAACCCTCCCCGTGGAGAGCTGCCCCAGCACGGACATCCAGCTGGTGACGCAGCAGGTGATCCAGTGCGCCTACGACATCGCCAAGGCCGCCAAGCAGCTCGTCACCATCACCACCAAAGAGAACAACAACTGAGGCACCTGCAGCTGCTTAGTCCTGTTGGGTTTTTTAAGGTTGGATTTCAAATATAGGTGTGGAACTATTCAAATTTTTACGAGGAAGACTAAAGGGGGCAATTTTTTTTAATTCAGTATTATTTTTGCATGTTTTCTAACAATTTTAATTTAACCCACTGCCTTATTTTGTGCCTGTGTTGCCAGTTAGTTACAGATAATATAGCATGTTGCAAATAGCTGTTGAGCCAGCCTCAGGCACCGGCGTTGTATGGAGGTCCCCTAAGGTTCCCTTAGGGCCACATTCTGCTTTGGGACACGGCGTGCACAGCTCCTTGTGTCACTGCACGTGTCAGAGGGCAGAATCTCGCTGTGCTCTGTGTCCTGGAGCCTCCTCGGAAGCAAAACCAGGCCCTGAAGGCTCCAGGGACGTCACCTCCAACAGCGGAAAGGAAACAACCCGAGTATTATCTCTTCCCATATCAACTGTTGTGCAATAATACATTTTTAGTCTGCTGAAACAATAGTAGTTGTGGGCATCGGAGCTTATTAAATGTAACTATACAAGGTCTTCTGTCACTTTATCTGTTTTGGAAGGAATTTAAAATTTAATAGTTATTTCTTTTAGTTGTCACTATGCCATTAATATATATGTCTGATGTTACTTTAGGGCATTAGTGGTAAAATATTATCCTTTGTTTTTGACTTAGTAACTCATTCTGAAGTTTCCTACCAAATTTTATTACCTTTTAGTGTCATGTTCAAGGCAAAATTTTGTTAGTAGCAGCATTGTTCAGTATCTCTTGAGAAGCAATTTTACTGAAGATCTCTGTGATAGTCACGGGGAAAAAAAAAAAAGGAAATTAGAAGAGTGCCAGTTCCAAGGAATCTGTCTGCCATAGGATATTGCCTTTGTACCTCAGTGTATTCAAATGTGAAAAAATTTTATATGCAGGAACTTTCATGCAAAGCTTTCAATTTTACAAGCTACATATGGAATAACTCACTTGCCTATCAGGAGTGTAGATAGGTGACAAATGTCAGTGTATGTTGCATTTTTTTTTCAATTCCTAAATTCATAAAAATTTCAAAAAAAAAATGTGCAAGTCTATACTTTCAAAAACACTGGTTCCTTTAGGAATCTAAATCCCATGGAGATTCAAAGATACTCTGCCTCCTAATGGGTCCCATCTGGAAGTGTGCTGCTGTTCTCTATGCGTGTCCCGTCAGTTTAACTGGAAGCCACTTAAAGCAGCACCGTTTTTAGCTGAAAAACAAATTTGGGAAACGGAGACAGGTGTCACATGTGAGCAGTCAATATAGGCAGGTGTTTTAGGGTCCCAGGGTGACCCTGGAGCCGTTTCGGTGGTAAAGGCAGAGGGATCATCCTGACAGACCCTGCTGCTGCCTGCAGTGAGGGGGGAAATGGAGTTATCAGAGTCTTGCATCTGGTTGAGTGTTTTGACAATTCCGCTCACCTTGTCACTCCAAGTCTTGTGGAGTTCAGAGGAAAAACCTTGATTTGGTAGCTGAAATGGGGGAATAGATGAATTGTAGCTGGTTGCTTGTTCAAAGAAAAAAGTATTTTGATATTTTTGATGCTATGGGACTTCATGAATCCTGCATGTTGTGCCTGTTTATGTATAAACATGGCAAAGCTTGTGAAATGTGAGAGTTTTTCACCATATAGATGACCCTTCCTTGTTATAAGTAATCTTATGACTTTCCCCTAGATCCAAAAATCATAGTACCACAAACAACACCCGTGTTGCTGTGATCCCTGCGCTCGGTGTCACCGGCAGTGTCAGTATAAATGTCATCATAGTGTGGTCTGTCTGGATGGGACTCCCTCAAGCACTTGGTTTGGAAGCGGCTCCCTGCTCTTCCCTAGGCAGCTCTGGTATAATCCAGCCTTATTCTTTAAGGCTTTCTGGTGAAAACTGCCGTGCTTAGCTTAACAACCAACACCTAAATGTCAGTGGTTCTTTCCTTGGAGATCAGAGGTGTGTTTGTATCTACACACAAACAGTGCCCAAGTGCCACAGTATTGTTGGATTTCTAAATGCTGTGAAGAGCTGCCTTCCTAAAGGATCTGTAGGTGCAAGAGAAGAGGGGTGGAGGAGAGTCGCTGACAAGCTAGTGCAGCCACCCCCTTCCCGACCCGGCCTCCCCTTCTGAATCCTGGAACTGTTTCTAGATTTGCAGGAGTGTCGACAGGCTGGGGTTAGAACTGTGGAAGACAAATGCATTTAAAAAAAAAAAAAAAGGATTATCTATGTATTTTTTGTCTAATCTCATTTTAGGACTTTTTGCTTTAAGTTGGCATAATTGAAAGGTAAAGAATGTTATTTTTAAATCTCTCATGACATTGGTACATGGTTTCTTTAACATATCCTTCTCTGATTTCCAGATATCAGTTGTTTAAATTTGCCTCTGTGCCAAAACACAAGTGAACTTTAACTGCAAGCCCTTGTTCTCAATACACTAGCTATAGATTTTCTAAAATTTATGGTCGAACTGTAATTGGTTTCCTGTTCATTCCCATTTCTGGTGACTCCAGCCTCTCTGGACAAATGTGTTTGAGATGGTGCTGATGACCAAGGTGGTGTTGCCCCAGAAGTAGCTTCATGTGGGATATGAAATTTTCTTAGCTAGCAGTGGAGCAGAAGCAGGGCCTGAGCAAATGCTCGTGTGCTTCATGATGGCTTTTCAAAACCAGGCAGCATGGATCAAAAATAATTGTGAAACTAAGAGTAGTCCCTTAGCCCTCAAGTTGTGTGGCACTGCAGGTCAGAGGAGACTGCCCTACCTGAAACAACCAAGGTGATGTTTATTTTATGATTTGAAGTCTTTTCTCCCCTTCCCTGCCCCCTCCACATCCTCTTTACAAAATGCTGCATAGGAAAGTGAAAATGCCTTTCTCCAAACTTGTATTTATCAGTGTCATTCTGGCTGTACATTCTGACTTAATCTTTTGTTTACTGTATTACTATAAAATGCTAAAATCCTTTCAGTGTGTAAAAGTGTTCTGGGTTGAGTGCTGCTCTTGTGAAGAAAAGAACTTGGCTGGGTCACAGGGTTGAGCAAAGGCCTAAACCAGCCTTGCCCCGTCGAGGCCGCGTTCCTGGGGCTGCCCTTGCCCAGGGTGACATGAGGCAAGTTTGCAAGGTTGCTAAACCTCCCTCACTCCTGTGCTCGCAGCAGGCTTTTAACATAATGAAAGTAACAGGTGTGAAGCTTGCAAAATGACTCATTATTTATAAAAACAAGAAAAAAGAAAAACCCTTTATTGAAGTCTTCAACCTGCTCCTAAGGGGACTGAACTGTCCCACACTGCAGGTTCTGGCAGTACCTCTTAACAGCATCTCTCAGTGATTTGCAGTATGTTCTGAAGCAAGAGCTGGCACCTGGGGACATGCTGCTGTCCCCGGGTCACAAAATGCAACCCCTGGTGCCTCAGTGTTCCTGTGCTGCAGCAGGGAGCCACGCTGCAGTTTTTCTGACCACGCTGCACGTTTTATTGCCTTCGCTGTTCTTCCTGTCGAATGCTTCGACTCGCTGCCCTATGTGCCAAAATAAAATGCCACAACTCCCAAACAAAACAAGTGAAGCCATTAAGGGTGAAGCCCTCGATGTCTGGTTGTGCCTCTGAATGCACTGGAGCCAGCAGAAATTTGCTCTTGTGTTCAGTTAGGCTACAGCTAAGTATCTTCAAATATCTTCTTTCCATTTCTGTTGTGTCTTAAAGTCACTGTAAACTATTCTAAAAGCATTATAAGCTAAAGCATTCCTTGATTCCTTAAAATATTCTTTTTGTAGTATGCAAGTTCATTTAATGCTCCTTCCTCAAGTATACAGGACAGGAATCTTCAGGTCCATGCTGCTTTTGGATGACCGTAGAGCTAATGGGGTCAAAACAAAAGAAATGATAAATATTTTAAGCACTCTAGAACTAGTCCTCTGTGCTGCTGTTACTAAACAGTGAGAGAAAGTACTTGGAGCAAGACTTACAAATTACTGATAAGATTTTTCTTGTAAGGGTTGATTTAAGGCAAAAATTCTGCTTACAAGAAGGCTGTCACACTTTCTGATAGACCTAAGTGTCACGATTCCCCAAAGTGCTGTTTACCCTGTTGCGATATCCTTGCTCGGCCATGCGCTTGGCCTCTTGCTGCACGAGCTCCTCGCAGCGCTGCTTCGTTAACCTCTCCTCTTCCTCCTCCTCTCTCTGGCGCTCCTGCTCCTCCTGTTCTTGCAGGTGTCGTTCTGTCAGCTGAGGAGGAAGCAACAGCTAAGCAGGGGCGTTGCTGGAGCAGCTGGGCGCACAGCTGGCAGCTGAACCCTACCTGTGCGTCCAGCTCCTGCCTGCGCGCCGACTTCAGCGACTCCTCCCGCGCTCTCTCGCGCCTGGTCAGTTCTTTGGCCTCCTCCAGCTCTTTGATCAGCTGCTCTCGCTGCCTCACGGACTCTTCTTGGGCCCGTCTGTTCAGCTCCAGCTTTTCCTGCACCTGGCGCTGTCTGCCCGCAAGCACCTGGGAGTGAGGAGGTCAAGGGAGGTGTCAGGCAAGAAAGGGGTCAAACGCAGAGGCAAAACTGAAAAAATCTCCGTGTTAAAGGGGCTCTCAGAAAATATAATAAGAAAATAGAAAACTCTGGCCCTGGTACTGAACTAATTGATAGAGGTCTGTAATTCCCCAAGACTTTTGCTTAGGTGAGTAGCACAGCTGGAGTGATGGCTTCAGAGGAAGGAGACACACGTCATTAAAAAAAAAAGGTCACTTTTTAAAGGTACCTCACTCATCAGACGATCTCTGGCCTTCTTTTCTCTTTCCCATTCTTCTTCCCTCTTTTCCCATACTTTTTTAGCTTCTTCTCTAAATAGGGGATAAAGAATTATCTCTGAGGTTTAACTTACAGCTCAAAAAAATGTATAGGCCATGGTCATGGTCAACATCAGGGGACCACTTGCTTTAAGTGTGCATTGACTCACCTAAAAATAGTCTGCAGCTCTGCTTCTCTCTCCCTCTCTAACTGGAGCTGTTCCTCAATGACCCCTTTCATCCAGGCAGCATCTGCAATGGCCCGTTCTCGTCTCGCAGACTGCAGGCGCTGATCCTCCTCTTCCTTCTGAAGGAGGGCTAATAAAATCTGCCTGTCTGTCTCCTAAGAAAAGTCAAAAGATTAACAGTAATTCAACAGCCTCAAGCTTTGTGCAAAGCTGCTCTGAGGAAAGGCAGCTCACCAGCTCCTCCTGTATCTGCTGGGCACGCCGCTTCAGCTGGGCACTGCACTGGTGTCTCAGAAAGCGACTGAGGAAGAAAGAAACAGAGAAACACTGAAAATGAGTCTGAAGCTCTTACTATTATATTCTGAGGTGGAGATGCTGGCACTTCATGCTATTTCTAAAATAAAGAGAAATAAAAGTAATTGCACCAATGTAATTTGCTCATTTGCTGTTCTAGGTGCTTCCTGCAAAAAAAAAAATTAAAGCATTAAAACCTACCACTGCTCTTAGCGAGTACTGAGATGGACACCGCAACAGGAACAGATTCTACCAAGCCCTACTGAAACGTGCTACGTGCCACACCGTACCCAAGCTCCAGCTTCTTCCGGTGCTCTTCCATTCGTTTCCTTTCTTCTTCTAAGTTCTCCAGTTCCCACTTCTGCTTTATTAAATTCTCTTGTTCTTTCTTCAGTTTTGTTGCCTAATATTTAAAAACAAAAAACAAAAAACTAAGACACAGCACTTTAAAGAGCTAAAATACCCCAGAGGGAGCCTTTGTGCCAGTGTTTGCACCATGTTTTGCCACCACCACCAGGAGTGGTTCCAAAGACTCGAGCCCTTTGCAAGCAGCCAAAATCCTCACTGCAGGAAATATCCCCCTTTAAATTCCCTGCTGTTTTGCAGGTATATGGCACAGGAGGCACAGCAGAAAGCTCCAGCTGAGCAAAACTTCAGCAGGAAAGTGTCACACCTTTTTCACCACTCTTCCTCAGCTGATGCAGCACAAAGCAGTGAGCATGTTTAAAGGGGAGCAAATAAAGGCTCCCAGATCTCCGTGACCACGGCAATGCCGAGGCAGAGGTCTGCATCACTAACAGAAACGTTACCACGGCTTGCGTCATTGCTCGTGCAGTTCAACAGAAACCTGGAAGGAAGAAGTCAGGGCAGCGCTGCTGTGTTTGCAAGCAAAACAGCAACTTTTTTCCCAAATAAGGAGGTTACCTCTGTCTCCTGTAATTTCAGTTCTTTTATTTGCTGAAGTAACGTTTCTGCTTGCTGCTTCTCCTCCAGCCGGCGCTTTTCTTGCTCTTGTCTCATTCTCTCCAGTGCCTCCCTCCGTGCAATTTCATATTCATTTTCATATCGTTTTTTCTCTTCTCGCTCAGCCGCCTCTTGCTTATCAAGCCAAAAGAAAGCAAAGTGTGTAAGGTCAGGCTGAACACAAAGAAATGGCTCAGGAAATCTGCAAATCACGAGTTCCCGAAAGCTGAAATGAACTTGGAGAACGTAGAACAAATACTAGGAAAGACTAAGGACAAAGTGAGACTCCCTGATGGCTGCAGCCTGAAAGTGGATGTTGGGCTCTACAGCAGGACCCCGCAGGGCTCTCATGCTAAGCACAGGAGATGGGTGTTAATGTACACAAACAGCCTCAGTTTCTTACAGAGACCTATGCTATTATTTTTGTTAGTTAAATGTTTCTTTAGTTGAAGACCTTCTTAGTCTCTCAAATCAAAATTATTGTATCCAGTATTTGCAGATGGAGTCCTTGCAGCCTGGCACTCGGCCGCGTCCTGCAGGTGCCATCGGAGATGAGCGGGGAGGCGCTCAGCCCGTCCCGCACGGAGCATCCCCGGCTCTTCTGGGAGACAGAGCGCAGCCAGGCGCTGGCTAGGAATGATGTCTCTTAATTAAAATTAATTGTGTTAACAACCCCAGCCATCCTGTGGAAACAGGACTCCTGATTGTTACAGGAACGAGCAAGGCAGCCCAAGTCGTTATTTGCTATGAAGACAGAGAAGCCACAGGTGAGTCCTGCTGCTCCCTGCGCACCCTGTTCCTGTCCCTACCGGCCGCCGGGGTGTCCGTGAGCTGCGCTCGGAGGCGCGCGCTGGAAAACACGGCGCGCTGGGACACCGGCTCCCCGAGGGCCCTCGTGGCCACAGCCCCCGTGCAGATCCTGCTCACCTGCTTTTTCTGCACGAGCTGCTCACCCCACGCGTCTCTCACGTGCTTCTTGTGCAACTCGGATTCCACCTGGAGAAAACAACGTAGGCAGCGTCACCATGAGCAACGGCAAGTGCGGAGGGGACACCTTGGAGACCCTGCTGGCACATGCCTAGCCCCAGAAGTCCCCTTGGGGGCTCCCTCTGCAGCGGCTGGGGCTGCACTGCTGCAAAACCCCAGGGATCCGGCTGCACGGCTGGCTTTCCAAAGGGCAGGAACCTTGAGGGGATTCGGCTACACAGGCGCAGAAACTCCAGTCTCAGTGTGAGAACAGGTTTCTCCCTGGGTTCTAAGAGCACGCACTTTGAAGCGAGCTCTTGCACCGTCCAGCCCTTTCACTACTTCTTTGCCTCTTGCCCATCAGAACCTGTGACCAGCGGTCGAGCTGCGAGCCGAGAGGAGCTACAGCAGCAGCTACACGTGCGAACACGTGCGAATCGGGTCCAGCAAGCGCGAGAGGGGGGACCAGGACACGGGCAACGTCACCTCCCGGAGCTCGGCGTTGTTCCTCCTCCAGTGCTCGTGCAGCAGCTCCTCCGCCACCTGCGGGCGCGAGGCGGGCGGCGTGAGAGCCGCCGCAGAAAGCGCCA